TTCTTGAGTTTTATCAAGAAAAACCAGAGTGATGAAAAGAGCTTAATATGCAAAAATTGACTTCATAAAATTGTTTGAAACAGCAAAACAATGGAAATAACCAAAATTAGTACATATAGGAAGATAAAACACATTATAAAATTTCCAAATAATAAAGCATTAAGACATTAAATACATTGTTCCTAAAAATACCTATTACCACACGAAGTGCCCTTGATATGTTGTTAAATGAAAAATGAATGATAAAAAACTGTATATAAAAATGTTTTAAATTACATTAACATTTCACTTGAAAAAAATGTATAGAAAACATTATTCCTATTTTATCTACTCAAATATGTACCTTACATATGTGTAAAACAAATAAACAAAGTTACTACAAAATGATAAACATTTCAATCCATCTGATTGATATACCAATTATAAACAGATATGCACCTAGTAAAATAACTTCAAAATGTGTATAGTAAATACTGATGAAATTGTTAAAAAAAAAGGACAAATGCATCAACTTACTGAATTATTAATATTGACCAAAAAACAGTACAGATACAAAAGATTTGAATTATACAAAAATCAAACTATACAGAATATGTATAGAATTCTGAGCCCTCAAATTAGACAATGCACATTCTTCTCAAGCACACACATTTACAAAAATGGACCATATACTAGCTGATAAAGAACCTGAATTATTAGAATAAATGTTAAGCTGATGAAACAAAGAGATCTCAAAAATAGAGTGGGTTGGAAAAAAATAGAAAATTATCCTCTTACAAGTAACTCTCCAAAGGTAGGTGATCAAAGTTAATGCAGAGCTGGTCAGGATTCCTTCCCATTTTTGTTCATCCATTCTATAAGGCATTTTTCTGGCCTATATGGTCAAAGATAGGTTACATCCATATCTTTGTTCCATATCAAATTGAAGGGAAATAAGTATAAAGCAGATCAAACCTGATGTTTCTTTCAGAACCAGACCATGGAAGTGGCAATGTATCAGTTAGTTAGCATCATATAATAAGCAACCACAATACCTCAGTGGTATACAAGAAGAAGCATTTAACTAGCTTGTGCATATGTGGAGGTCAGCTGATATAGTCTGGGCCCAGTTATGGCAGCACTGATGTTCATGTCTCTCATTATACCAGAAGCTAGCTGAGATGAATTCTTTTCATGTCATTAGTAGAGGTGCAAGAGAGCAAACCTAAATGTGCAAGCACATATGAAGCTTCTGTTGTGTCATATTTCTTAAATTATCACTGGCAAAAATAAATTACATGCCCCAGCTCTGCATGGCCATGGAAAGTAGAATCCTTCCTTGGAAATAAGGGGAAAGAGTAGATATTTCTGAAAAGTAATTCCACAACCACACACCAATTAAGTGCACATTCCATTGTCAAAATTTAGTTTCATGGTCACAGCTAGGCATAAAGGACACTGAGAAATATAGGTGTCTAACTATATGCTCAGCTATATCATGAAATTATAGGAATAAAGAAAACATAATTTGGTGGAAAACTAGCAATAGTTGCCATAACAAATCCCAAGAAATTTCAAGAATTGGTTTCATACAGCCCTTGTGCTCTGACCACAGATTTATTTTAACTACAAATATATAGTAACCAAAAAAAAAAAAAGATAATCCAAAACCCGTGCATATGTAAATTCGAAAATACCCTCTAAATAAACCATGAGACAAAGAACAATCACAATGAAAACCTTAAAATACTTAAAACTGAATAAAAATTAAAATGCTACATGTAAACACCTGCAGGACACAGTTAAAAGAGTATTCAGGAAAAATGTATAATATTAAATCCTTAGAACAGTAGAAAGGCCAAAAATTAATGAGCTATGTATCCAACTTAAGAAGTTGGAAAAAGAAACAAAGACTAAACCTAAATACTATAGACAAAAGAAGGTCATAACAATGAAAGCACAATTAATAAAGAAAAGAACTAAACATAATAGAGAATCATAAAACCCAAAAGTTGGATCTTCAAAAGTACCAATAAAATTCAAATATCTCCAGGAAGACTAATGAGAGGTGAGGAGGGTGTAGAGGACAGTTCAAAAGGAGTAAGAGAAATAGAATTCAAAAATAAAAACAGACTACTTATGAATCTATTTGAGATTTAAAAGATAAAAAACATGATAATACTTTTATGCTGGTCAATTTGAAACTCAGACAAAATATTCATATTAACATATTATTTTACTAAAATTTATTAAGAATAAATAATCTCTACAGTTCTAGTATACTAAAAAACAATCTGAATTCATAGTATAAAATCTACCCGTAAATACATAACATTTCCAATTAGCTTTACATTTCTACCACACATTTAAGTAACAAGTCTCCCATAAAGAATAGAATAGAGTGAACATTCCCCAATTTACTCAGTGATAACAAAATACAAAAAGATGGTGACTAAAAAGAGAAATTAAAGACCAATTTTATTCTTAAAATAGAAATAAGCATCCTAAGAAAAAATAGAGAACTAGATCCAGTGATATATAAATCAGTTAACACATGATGAATAAGTTTTATACCAAGAATGGAAGAATCTTTACATTAGAAAATCCATATCATTTACCCCATTAAAATATTAGTGGGAAAAGATAACCTCAGAAGCAGAAAATTCGATATTCATTCATGATAAAATCTTAATACTTAAACATGATTTTAAAACTTGACATTCATTTATGATAAAAAAAAATTAACATTCACTCATGATAAAACACAAACAAACATAGCAAATATGGAAAGTTAGGGAACTTTTTTTAACCTGATGAAGAATAGTTACTGAAGATAACAAATGTCATTCCCTATATGGAAACATCACAAGCATTTCCTTTTAAATCATAAACAGAATAAGAATGCCTACTCTAACTACTTCCATTTAACTCCTTTATGCAAGTCCTGGACAATGCACAAAGACAAGAAACACAAATATAATTTTCCAAGATTGGAAAAGGAAAATCACAACTATTATTGTTCACAGATGATATCATTATTAACAAGGAAAATGCCAAAAAACCTACAAACTATATAAATAGGGAGTTTAGCAAGGTCACTGTATTTCGGATCAATCTATACAAGAGCACTTCAAAAAGTTTTTGGAAAAATAGCATTGCAAGATAATACTAATTTTTCCACAAACTTTTTGAAGTATCCTCCTAGTAATTGAATGCATATCTAAACAACAGCAACAAAGAGAACACTTTTTTTTTCATTTATGCATTCATTCAAATACAGTATTTACGGGATACTTACTATTTGCCAGACATGTCTTTGGCACTGGGAACATAGCAGTAAATTAAAAAGATAAATAGGCCTGCTTTCATGGAGCTTACATTCTCATGGGAAGAGATACAATAAAAAAGATATGTAAGACATGTAAGGAGAAAAAAATAAAGAAGAAAAGAAGTCCAGGAAGTGTCAGGGAATGAGAGGCAGCATTGAAATTAAATTGGTTGACAATGGAAGGGCTCTCTGAAAAGGTGACATTTGAGTAAATCTTGAAAGGCAGTGAGGGGATGAGCCATTAGGATATCTGAGGAAAGACAACCCAGGGAGAGAAAAACCTCAAGTGCAAAAGCCTCAAGACAGAGGCATGCCTAGAGTGTTCTATAAATAGGAAGCTAGTGTAAAACATGAGTAAAACATGAAAGAATAGCAGGAGATTAGGTCAGAGAGGTAAAAAAAGGGGGGCTAGATCATATATGCCCTCAGAGTTAAAATGTCTTTAACTGTAACTCTGAATAAAATAGGAACTCACTAAAGTTTTCAGCAATGTCTCGGACAGACATGTTTTATGATCACTTTGGCTGTTTTGTTCAAAAAGAGACTCAAGGAAAACAAAGACAAAAGCAGAGACAGGTTAAGAGGCTTTTACAATAATCCAAACTAGAGATGATGGCAAAAACAAAACAAAACAAAAAACAGCAGGCAACCGTGCTGGTGGTAAGAAAAGATGAAATTGTAGATATTCTTCAAGTATAGACACCAAATAATTTCTTTTCGTATCAGATGTGAGTTATGAGAGAAAGATATGACTCAAAGATGATTCCAGAGTTATTTTTTTTTTTTTTTGGCTAAGTAACTAGAAGGATAGAGTTTCCAATAAGATAGAGAAATATTCAGAGACGTAATTATAGTGAGGAATCTACATCGAACTGCAGGTGTCTAGTTGGCAGTTGGATACATAAAACTAGAGTTCAGAGACGAGATCTCAGTTGAAGACGTAACAAGGAGTTAACATATAGGTAGAATTTAAAGCCATGAGACTGAATGAGATCACCTAGGCAGTGACAACAACAAAGAGAAGAGATCCAAGAACTGAGCCCTGAACACCACAACATGCAGAGGTTGGGAAGATGAGGAACAAACAGCAAAGGAAGTGAAAAGTTATAGTGCTTATTGGCAATAATAAGGCTTAGGAAACGACCAGGGAAGTGAGTGGCTGAAGACAGATGGAGAACAGGATCACTGGAGAAGAGGCTGCCAAGAAACTGAAAGTCCAGAATATGAGAAGGATCATCCATGTAAATATTTAAATCATCAAGGATTATTGCAGAAATCATTTTTAAGAAGTGACAATATCACAGGGATTCTTTACTTAACTTCACCATAAAATGGCCTGAAAAGAGAGTGGGATAATCTGGTGTATGAAATTCAAGGAAGGATGGGTTCATATAAAAGGAAGGGAGAAGGGACAGAAAGCTGCAATGAAAAGCAAAGGGACACTTATCTGATCTCCAGGGCCAATGTTATGATTGAGTGTGGAGTAGAGCAGTCACCCTGAAGGGTGCTGCTGTAAGATATGGTGTGCTGAAGATGGCTCATACTGGCTCAGGAGAGTTGACTGCAGACATCAATTCCAAGTTCCCCATTGAATTAAGACGGTAGCTTGAATGACTATGGTGTCACTTGAATGACTATACCACAGAAAGTTTTTTGAAAAATACTATAAATCCAGGATTTTTTTTTTTTTCCAAAGAAGTGATTGTTAAACCTTTACCAGAACACCACTGGCTGCAGGAGAAACTATCACTAACGGAAAGTTAGATTTCCATTAGCATAAAGGTGAAGGGAACATTCACAGCAGAAGATGAAAATACAGAGGATTTTGCTGTTCACTGAACCTTGAGTTCCAGAGAGTGTAAAGAAAGGGGTTTGGGAGTGAGGAAAGGGGAAGAAGAGATTGGATCAGAAAAAGTGATATATGGAAGCTTAGAGAGGATTAGAGTTCTGGAATAAATGATAAACTGGGAGTCTTGGGCTCCTTATGAAGACTGAAAAGAACATGGATAAACAGTGTTGGGTTGATGAAAGAGAAGATTAGAGGATGACAGGCCAGGAACATGTGGTGATCAGAATCTCCCATTTGGCTCCTGCTGACACAGGCATGACATCCTGTAGATGGACGGTCTTATTTGGAATGCATGTGCACACTGTTGTCTCTTGCCAATGGTGTCCTGCAGAGATGTGGTCTTATTCCAAGTTGGAGAGTACCCTCTCCACTGCTTCTGATGGAGGCGTGGACTTTGACAGAGGGCTGATCTTGCTCTGGGCTCAGAAACTCCCTCTTGATCTCTGTTACAGGAGGCCTCAAAGCCGACAAAGGAACAAATTATTTTATTTTAAAAGATACCATTTACAATAGCAAAACTATAAGGTACTTAGAACTACATTTAACAAAACATGTACAAGATATTCATTGAGAAAATTATTAAAATGTTATTGAAAGATGTTAAAGAAAGTCCAAATATATTGCGAGATAAACTATGTTTAGTCATTCATTGAAAGACCCAATATCATAAAGATGCCAGAATCGCTACATTGATCCATAAAACTAAAGATATTCCAATAAAAGTCCCAAGAAAAAAATTTTAAATAATTTGACAAGCCTATTTTAAAATTATAAGAAAAAGAAAGGCCTAAGAATATCTAAAACACTTCTCCAGAATAAGGTTGAGAAAACTGCCTTTAGACATACATAAACTTATTAAAAACCATAATGATTAGAAAGTATGGTACTGCCACAGGAGTAAACAAACTCACCAATGGAACTTGAAAGAAAGACCAGAATCAAACTTATGTATATATGGAAACTAGTTAAATGACAAAGCTGGTATAGTAGACCATTGAGAAAAAGAAGAACCATATAATAAATTGTGCTAGGGCAAGCAATTATCTGAATAAAATAAAATGAAACTGGATTCCTACTATATTTCACATTTAAAAACCAATTTCAAGGTAAATAATTCAACTAGTTTGAAAAAGAATACACTGTCTAATAAAATCCCCATTCTTAATTCCATTCCCAGGTTATTGTCCAAAGGAGAATCATCTGCAGGTGCACATGGAATTGTGTACAAGAATATTCATGGCATCATTGTTTAAGACCAAGACTTTGTAGATAACCTGAATATCCCTTAACAGAACAGAAAAGTGAATATTGTGAAATGAACTACAGCCACATACAACAACTCTGAAGACTCTTAAAAAAATACAAAAAAAAATCAAAAAAGCTAGTTGCAGAAGACTACATATGTCACATTTTATAACTTGAATTTCTGTTATATATATTTAATTAGTATACAAGGGTACTTCAAAAAGTTTTATCATATTATCTTTTAATTCTATTTTTCTACAAACTTTTTGGAGTTCCTTCATAGTTATGTATTATATTCAAATTCACACATAATATATTTCAATTAAACAAATATTAATTGAACATATTTATGTTTTAATTTTGGTATATTTAATACACAAATCCATAATTTTTCATAAAATTAATATTTAAAAATATAGATACTGCAGATACTTATATCGACTGAAATATCCAAAATGTTGTAAGTCCTGTGCATTTTTTTAATGGAATTTTATTTTTATGTTTTCTAAATTATCCATGTTTCTGTATGCAAAATTCAAATTAAGAGTTTAAAACCTGAGAATAATTAGTCTTTAATTGCTTTTATTTGATCCATACTTACTCATTTTTATGTAAGCAGCATATTTAGTGTAATAAGTATTTTTATTTATTTGATTTTCTACTCAGAACACAATTATAAACAAGTTGACTTAATCCTTGTCTATTTAACATTGTACAATATTATGAATAAATATTTTGATTAATATATTTCCTCAGGGATTTTTAAATGAATTATTTCAACTGTTGAAGACATTCAAAATTATTTTCAAATTATCAGTATTAAAATTCCCATTTGCACAAGATTATAGACTTTTTAATACCTTCCATATTGTCAAACTCTGAAAAAATACAAAACTAATTTCTTTTTTAGGAGCTTAATATATGATAAATAGAATAATTTAACACTCTGATGCAATATTTACAATTACCGGCAAAATATCAACCAGATCCTTGGTTGATGCCAGAGTCATGATAATACTTTAGGCAAAAAATAATATTAATAGCTGCTTAGCAATATTCAAAAATATTGTACTAAATACAACTAAACTCACTGCAATAAATGCAAGGTATCAACACTTAAGTGGACTAAGTACTCTTAGAGTGCACCATTGCCATGCCAATGTAGTATAACACAACACAATGACATACACTGTCATATCAGAGTTGAAGGGAACCTTTCTCTCCCCCCTCACATTTTCACAGGGTTATATTTAAACCATAATCTATATTATATAATCACTGGCAGACATCATGACAAAGATATTAAATAAGATTTCATTTTTTCATTAAATGAATCAAAATATAGAATAACCCCTAAACAAGTTGAGTTGTGTACAATTTTTATGGGTATACAAGTACTTTCAAACATATAACAAGGGACATGCAAACATCAGAACATCAGAATTAGCCACCATAATGACCTAATCTCCATATTTCTGTTCATATGTAATCTGAGTTAGGGAAACTACACCTACAATCAGGGAAACCCTTTGCTAAATTATTCATGTCATTACTTAAAGAAATGACTAAAACGGTTTAAAAAGTAATGAATCGAGAAGACTTTAAAAGTCTTCTATTCAGTGTAACTTATGTCACATTTAAAACAAAAGATAAAAAATGTACTAAAAATTAAAAATAATTTATCTTACCCTGGTAAATAATCTTTGCTGCAGAAATGCTATTATTACTTGACTATGAATTCTGTCATAGGCACTGTGTTAGACATCTTACATATATTATTTCATTGAATCCTGACAAAAACTTCTTTGATAGGCATATTATTCTTCACAGTTTATAGAGATAGAAACATATAAGTAATGTACCCTTGTTTGTACAGGTAATAAGTGGGAGATCTAGGTTTCAAATACAGATTAGGCTTCAAAATAATTCACACGCTATAATAGCATCTGCCAAATTACGTGCTACGGTATGTTAAATGACCTTATGCTGAAGGAAAATGGATTATGATAGTTAACTTATGCAAGGATAAGTTATGAAAGTATTAAATGACAGCTAAAAACTATCATTTTGTTTGCTTAACAAAAAAATATTATATATAAATACCTAAAGGAATAAAGATAAATAGTAAAAAATAAACACTCATCCATAGCTTATGAAAACTCACTCATAGCTTAGGAGAAATATGTATTGTTGATTAATAAAGTTATAAAATTAAATGATTAAAAAATAATGCATCTGAAATTATTAATAGGAACTAAAAGCTGTTTTAACAGGAACTATCTAAACTTTAGCAAAAGTTTTTTCCTATGATAAGCTATGAGTAATTGTTGCTAAACCAGCCTTTTCTTGGGCAAATAATCTAATAATTTTAGTATAGGCTTTTTAATTGCTCCTCTAAATTTTTAAAAATTTTCATTTAAATATGAAGATGATGTGAATATTTCTGAAATATAACAGGTATTTCTCTTTTTAAACTTTGACATTTGAATTATTAAGATATAAAATATTTTAAAAATTTTTGTTGTATATCCTCTAATGTTTATATATCCTCCCCAACACGTCCTCTGTTACTATCCACATGGAAAAGAAATATCTATTTTTTTTTTCAATTTTCTTATTGTGGTAAAGTGCACATAACATAAAATTTACCATATAAGCCAATTTAGGGGTATAGTTCAGTGGTATTAAATGCATTCATAACATTGTGCAATCATCACCCTCACCCAGCTCCAGAACTTGTTTCATCTTGTAAAACTGAAACTCTATACCCATTAAACAATAACTCCCTACTTCCCCTGCCCTCTGCTCAGTCCTGATAATAACCATTCCACTTTCTGTATCTATAATTTTGCCTACTCTAAGTACCTCGTATAAGTGGAATCAAACACTGTTTGTCTTTCTGTTATGGCTTATTTCACTTAGCATAATGTCATCAACGTTTATCTGTGTCGTGGCATACAAGGGTACTTCAAAAAGCTCATGGAAAAATAGAATTAAAAGATACTATGAATTTTTCCATAACTTTTTGAAGTACCCTTCCTTTTTAAAGCTGATTAACATTCCATTATATGTATAAACCACATTTTATTTATCCATCTGCCAAAGGACACTTGGTTATTTCCACGTTTTAGCTATTGTGAATAATGCTACTATGAACCTAGGTGTACAAATATTTTTTTCAACATCCTGCTTTCAATTCTTTTGGGTATATACCCAGAAATGAAATTGCTGAATCCTATAGTAATTCTACTTTAAGTTTTAGAGGAACTACCATATTATCTTCCACAATGGCTATATCATTTTACATTCTACCAACAGTGAACAAGAGTTCCAATTACTGTATATCCTTGCCAATTCCTATTTCCTCTTTTTTTGTTTCTTTGATAGAAGCCACCCTAATGGATACGAGGTGGTGTCTCCCTGTAGTTTTGACTGGCACTTCCCTAATTATTAGAACGTTAAGCATCTTTTCCTGTGCTTACTAGCCATTTGTACTTCTTTTTTGGAGAAATATCTATTCAAGTCCTTTGTCCATTTTTGAATTGGGTTTTTTGTTGTTGCTGAGTTTTATAAATTCTCTATATATTCTGGATATTATCCCTTATCAGATATATGACTTGTAAATATTTTCTACCATCCTGTGGGTTACCTTTTTACTGTGATGATAATGTGCTTTTATGCCCAAAATTTTAAAATTTTCATTAAGTCAAATTTGTCTTATTTTTTTCTTTTGTTGACTATGATTTTAGTGTTATATCTAAAAACTCACTGTCAAATCCACGTCATGAAGCTTTTGTCCTATGTTTTCTTCTAAGAGTTTTATACTTTTAGGACTTATATTTAGGTCTTTGGTCATTTTAAGTTAATTTCTATATAGGGTATTAAGTAAGGGTCCAACTTCATTCTTTTGCATGTGGAGGACTTATTTTCTCAGACCATTTGTAGTAAGACTGTCCTTTCCCCATTGAATGGTCTTGGCACCTTTGTCAAAATCATTTGACCATACACAGGAGAGTTTATTTTGGGGTTCTCTACTCTGTTCTGTTGGTCTATAAGTCTATCTTTTTTTTTTTTTCCTTTTTGTCTTTTTTCGTGTCCGGCAACGAATCGCAACCCTCAGTGTCGCGCCTGTACCGGACCGGGACCGGCAACGGGATCGCAACCCTCGGTGTTGCTCCCACACCTCGCTCAGCCAGTGAGCGGGAACCGGTC